ACAGGGAAAGGAGGGAGGGAGGGAGATGGGAGAGACAGGGAAAGAAAGGAGGGAGGGAGATGGGAGAGACAGGGAAAGGAAGGAGGGAGGGAGATGGGAGAGACAGGGAAAGGAAGGAGGGAGGGAGATGGGAGAAACAGGGAAAGGAAGGAGGGAGGGAGATGGGAGAGACAGGGAAAGGAAGGAGGGAGGGAGATGGGAGAGACAGGGAAAGGAGGGAGGGAGGGAGATGGGAGAGACACAGGGAAAGGAGGGAGGGAGGGAGATGGGAGAGATGGTGAGGGGAATAGAGAGGGGAGAGACACAGGGAAAGGGGGAGGGAGAGAGAGGGGAGAGACACAGGGAAAGGGGGAGGGAGAGAGAGGGGAGAGACACAGGGAAAGGGGGGAGGGAGAGACACAGAGAAAGGGGGTGAAAGGATGCAGAGGGGAGAGAGAGAGACAAAGAGGGAGAAATGAGACACACAAGGGGAGGGGAAGAAAGAGGCAGAGGGGGAAGAGAGAGAGAAAGAGGGAGAAATGAGAGAGACACAAGGGGAGGGGAAGAAAGAGGCAGAGGGGGAAGAGAGAGACTGGGAAGGAGAGGGGAGACATTGACACAGAGGAGCAGTGAGGGGGAGAAAGAGAGGACCCGGGGCAACGCTCCGGCTCTCACGAGGGTGAACTCTAGCCCTGGAGCTACGGGCTAGAGTTCACTCTCACCACTTCCTGGTGGTCGCAATAGTAGGAGTGAACCCTAGCCCCATACACACACTGCCCACACACATACACACACACACACACCATACACATTCACACACTGCCCCCACACACACCTTACACATTCACACACTGCCCCCACATACACACACACTGAACCTTTCACACACATTGCACCGTTGCTCCTATACCCTACTACAGCCCCATATCCCAGCAGACGCCAGGTAAGTTGTCAAACTGTTCTTAAACGGTTTGACTACTTACTCTGGGAGGGGGTGCCGACACTCCTGGCACCATAACCACTTCACAGAGGAGTAGTGGTTATTGTGCATGGAATATTTCTTTAAATAATCTACAAGTGCCCCTCCCGGGCTCAGGCTCTGGATCCGTCACTGGTATATGACATGTATATTAGTTATATATATATATATATATATAAATATATATATCTATTATATTTACACATATTAATGTACATTTATATATGCATACTACACAGAGAAATTTAATTAATATGTACCATATGTAATGAGCAGATATTGGCCCAGTCTTGTTGCTAGGTGCATACTCCAGCACAATAACATATTTAAAGTGAAGAGCACACCCACAGGACTTCAAAATAAACATTTTTTACAGTTGTGCCCTTCATACATTCACCATTTCAGTCCCATTAACAAGCTTTCCTTAATATGTCAAGGTAGTTGGACTGAAACATTGATTACATGCAAAGGCACGTCTGCTTAAAATAAATCTGCACTTTTATTTATTTTGAAGCCTATGAGTTCGCTTTTACGTTGAAGTACCATTCAAGAACAGTTTAAAGATAAGAGTGTGCCTGGAAGCCACCTGACACTTTAACAACTTAATTTGTATTAAGTTGTTATGGTGTTCAGAGTGTTCCTTTAAGACTCCAAAGGACGTTCCCAAAAGTGTAAAACATCCTGCAGGATCTACCCGATTACATATGGTATATGAGAACTCTCACTGCTTCAAATAAAATGCCTTTAGCAATATTATCATTGCAAGAGGTGCCATAAAACATCATTAAACTTTAATTTTTAATAATGTCTGCTACCAATTTATAGGTTTTGTATTGGGTTCTTGTAATTTATTTGTCTCTTGTAACCTACCCTATATTTCCCTAATGATAAAAAGCCATTTCCTTGAATACTAATTTCCTGTGTGAATGGGCAATTGGCTACACGTTGTAGTGGAACTACATAAAGATACCACAGCTATGTATATTTTATCTCTCCAATGAGTGAAGTGGTGTTCACTGTAACAATAGTAAAGTGTGAACTTTTGTGTTGGAAGGGAAATGATGTGATTTTGTCAGAATTCAATTTTTATTTGTATAAACACAATTAAATAAGATTCTTATGATGTGATTATAAAGTAAAACTGTCTTTTTCAGGAGTTGGCAACAGAGAAGAACCAACATGCATCAATGTACATTTTTCCTCCAAACACATAAAATACGATTATTTTTTTCTAAAAAGAGAGACAGCTTAAACAACGTAATATATCAATTCAATTTTTTATTTATGTAACTTTATTTAATTTTTTTTTTATCAAAGTATTATCCCTATCATTACAATACAAGACAATAAAATTCTGCCTGTTTGACAATTTATTTTCGTAAAACACAGTATGGAAAGCCAGAATATGACATTTGAAATTGTATGAATTAGCGACAGCTATGCTATCGTTAGCATGAATAGGCTTTTTATGCAAATGTAATCAATCAAAATTCCATTAGCACAACACGTAATCTAAAAAGCTATTGAATGGACCGGGTTTTGACAAGTAAATGTAAGTGAGGTACACATTCCGAGTGGTCCTGTCAGGTAGTGTCATGGAAACTACATTAACTTCATATATTACGTTTGTGATTTTGTATTAATATTACCACATTTTCCATTATTTAACTCACAAAAAACACTTTTATTTTACTGGCCTGTATTTTTAATTCTGTCCTGTCTTCCACTAAGCCAACAGTTTTGTTGACACATCTAAACTCAAGCTAATTATTGCTGTTGTCCTGTGGAAATGTTGCCAATTGCTCAAAAGTACAATCTTTTTAAGATAATGGTTTGTGGCAATAATATTTGGCTTTTGGTTCATCTGAAAATTCATTTAAATATCGATATGATTTATCAAAAATTCAATTAAAAATTTCCTTTTCTTTAAAGGGACACTATAGTCACCAGAACAACTACAGCATAATGTAATTGTTCTGGTGAGTATAGTCAGTCCCTACAGGTATTTTGCAGTAAACTCTATCTACTCAGAGAACATTATAGTCTAGGGACACCTCTAGTGGCCACTCCTCAGATGGAGAACATTCAGTGTCTTCACCCTCTGCATGTCGATGAGGAGATGCTGATTGTCCACGGTGGTGTTTTGCTCTGCCCCTGGCCTGCCTTCTTGGCTGAGATCATTAGAATTGACAATCATAGCAAATCCAATGGTTCCTATGGGAAAGAGATCCTCACTTTGATGATGTCAGCCAAGGAGGCAGTTCAGGGGCTGAGTCAGCACCAGCAGACTGGAATAAAGGTAAGATTTTACTCTATTTAGGGGGCAAAGGAATGAGGGGATCAATCATGTTTTTAGCACTATAGGGTCAGGAATTCATGTTTGTCTTCCTGACTGAATACTGATCCTTCAATTAATTTTAGACAGCTATTAATCTCTATGGAAATTAATTAATCCAAAACGTGGCAATCACAACAACCCTCTAAATAAGAATATTGATTAACTCTGAAAAGTCGTAGTTGTTCAACGATGGAATAAATAGCGTCAATTAAAATATGTTCGGTAGTCTGTTTGTTCATTCAGTCATTTGTTAATATTTCGGCTGGTATTCATTTTTGGATGAAATAAAAAAAAAAAAAAAATGTTAGGATTTGCCTGAATGGACTAACATTCTATTTTTGAAATTTTATGAATGAGATTCCAAGCTAATGCAATGTATATAATTTAGTTCCCTATTAAAAAAATAACCTTTGTTATACAGTACTTGGTGGGTTGTTACATCATCTGTTCATCATCTTCATCAAGGAAGTTGTTTTATATGCCAGGTCTGAAAAAAAGACTTCTTATTCAATCATGTTGCATACATTTAAAATTATTGCAGTGATGTAAGCAGATTCCAACAGTTTTCTGAAATAGTTATTATTAACTTATAGATCTTACAAATAAAAGAAAAACAAGGTGAAATATTTTTGTAACAAGTGCTCCTGAATCTCGTGCATTATTGGATGCCGATTTTACACTATTTGACAAGCTTTTCCAAATCACTTTGAACCCATCACTTTAATTACACCAGATCAAAAACGATTTGAATAGACCAGATAAACTTTCAGCAACATCAGATGCATGATTAATGTAATCCATCGCACCCCAGCTAACGAGATAAAATCAATGCTGTGCCTTTAGATGTTGTGAAGTCTTTGAAAGACAAAATTGGCGTTTGATGCATTTTCAGATATAGTTTGTCTTTGTTTATATACTTGAAAACTTAAAATGAATCGCTACATTTTACCCCAAAGCAGGCAGTAACCTAGAAAAAAATGTTAGAATGTTTAT